AAAAAAAATTAGCAAGGCATGGTGGCACGCACCTGTAGTCCCAGATACTTGGGAGGCTGAGGCGGGAGGAGTGCTTGAGCCCAGGAGGTTGAGGCTGCAGTAAGCCAAGGTCGCAGCACTGTACTCCAGCCTGGGGGACCGAGTGAGACCCTGTCTCAAAAAAAGTTTTTCTTTACATCAGTGTAGTGTGGGAAGAAGGAAAGAAACACTCCGATATTCCTGCATATAAAACAATAATTGTGAGAAGAAAAGAGAATCTCCCCTCCGAACAAGAGGAACACATTATGAGATGTTTTTGACTTAAATGAACCAGAATGTAGGAGAGAAGCCAGTTTGCTTATTTTTAAGAGTGTGATTCTTTATCTGTTAGAGCAACATACTGAGATATTTGTGAATAAAGTAATAGAAGTCTGGGATTTTCTTCAGTAGCACAATATGGGGGAAAGTGAATGGAGGTATAGATAAAACAAGATTGACCACAAATGATTGGCAACTGGATGATGGTTAAGTCAGAGTTCTCTTTCATATTCTGTCTACTTCTGAATGTTTACATTTTTTCATAATAAAGAAAAATAGGGCTGGGTGCAGTGGCTCATGCCTGTAATCCCAGCATTTGGGGAGGCCAAGGCAGGAGGATCACTTGAGCCTAGGAATTTGAGACCAGCCTGGGCAACATGGTGAAACCTTGTCTCTACAAAAATTAGCTGGGGATGGTAGCGTGTGCCTATAATCCCAGGTACTAAGGAAGCTTGAGGTTGCAGGGCCCACTGCACTCCAGCCTGGGTAACAGAGTGAGACCCTGTCTCAAAAAAAAAAAAAAAAAGATAGAAAAAGAAAAATAGGCTGAGGCAGGAGGACCTCTTGAGGCCAGGAGTTGGTGGCTGCAGTGAGCTACTATTGCACCACTGCACTCCCGCTTGGGTGACAGAGTGAGTCCTGTCTCTAAAGAGAAAACTAAAATAAAAAAGGAAACCAGAATGAGAGAGTTGTGCTAGGTTTGGACTGGAAAGGTGATCTTACAAGGCCTCTATGTCCAAGTGTCATTCAGGCCAGACTGGGTGTCTTGGTTCAATTTTGAGATGGTAGTGCCACCTAGTGTTTATTGCGGACACCCAACAAAATGACCGACATTGCCTGTGCCCACCTCCTGCTGTGGAGTTGGCTTGGTCTAATGTCCTTCTGTAAATTCCTGGCCTCTCGAATCCCCTCATGAGCAGGCCTGGATGAAAGAAGTGAGGCTGACAGGCCATAGGCACCGACTGTAGAGGTGGCAACAGTAGTGTTAATTGTGGTGGTCCAGCTGGGAGCAAGTCATAGGCGGGAGTGGCCGCATCTCATGTATGGCTCTGAGGGCAGGCGACCTTGGTAGAGGCTGTCAGTGTGACCCAGGTGTAAAAATAGCCTCTGCTGTGACGCCTGTGCTCCGCTCCCTGGCCTGAGCAAATAGCCCCTCACACCTGCACACTGTTTACTCGGTGTGGACACACAGCTACCTGTTTGCAGGTGCAAATGACTGTTTGTGTACCCAGAGTTGGGGGGAGGGCCCCCCACCATGCTTTCCTCTGGCCCACATTCCCTTAGAGCAAGTAGCTGGGCCACAGAACTAGCAAAATGTACAACCTTGACCCCCTCCCGGGCTGGGTCCTGTTGGAAAGAGAGCTCTTCACCACCTGTCCTCCCAACTCAGTAAAAGCGCCCCTCTTCACTAGAGAAGAATCTGCCCTCGCCTCCGGCAGCGGCATAGGAAGAGTCTGGAGACCAAGGTAGATGTGTTTAGGGACAGCAAATTAGGACACCATGAAGTCAGAGAGACTCCTGGAGATTGTGAGCCAGGCTTTATATAGACTGCAGGGAGTAAGAAAACTGGCCCGGCCTGTCTCATCAGGGTGAGGAGAATGGACACAAGTGGAACCTGTCAGTTTAATGTTCTGTAGACATGGACGATAAAGGTGATGGCGGGGAGGGGTGAGCGAGTGAAGGGAGCGGCAGACCCAGCAGCCTTGTGGTAGTCGGGGAGACGCTACGCTCATGTGAGCAGCTCTAAGTGCCATGGCTTATAATATGCACCTTTATTTTATATACCAATAAGCAAGAAAAATGTCAGACTATGATACAGCAGCCCATACAAGTATATTAAAACAGAAAAAATGAATGAATGAAGCATTTTTTTTGCTGGACAGTTAGAAAATTCCAAAAACTTAAAAGAAATCTAGTGCCTTTGACTCAGAAATTTTACTTCTCGGAGAGTATCCTAAGGAATAACTAGAAATGCACAGATTCATGCACAAAACAAGCAGTGTTTACGAAACAAGAATCCAAAACTGGATGAAAATTAATAGTTGAATGATACTAGTTAAATGATGGCACGTTTATATGATGGAATAATGATTTGAGTTTAAAAAGAATTTTATAAAATGAGTTTATAAAGAATTTCTCATTGGGAAAATGTTTTGATATTAAGCAAAAGACCCACACAGACTCAGAATTATATAGCTTGGCAAAAATACATATCAACATATGAAAGTTTCACAAGGTTGGGTGTGGTGTACTCAGTACTTTGGGAGACCAAGGCGTGCGGACCACATGAGGTCAGGAGTTCGAGACCAGCCTGACTAACATGGTGAAACCCCAGCTCTACTAAAAGCACAAAATTAGCTGTGTGTGGCGGTGCATGCCTGTAATCCTAACTACTTGGGAGGCTGAGGCAGGAGAATCGCGTGAACCCGGGAGGCAGAGGTTGCAGTGAGCCAAGATTGCGCCATTACACTCCAGCCTGGACAACAAGAGTGAAACTCCATCTCAAAAAAAGAAAAGTCTCACAAAGGGCTGGGCACAGTGGCTCAGGCAGGTAGTCTCAGCACTTTGGGAGGCTGAGGCTGGAGGATCACTTGAGCCCAGGGGTTCAAGGCTGGACTGAGTTATGATTGCACCACTGTACTCCAGCCTGGGTGACAGAGTGACCCTGTCTCTGATTAAAAAAAAATATATACAGTCTTACAAAGGATACAATAGAACCAAATGCTGAAAACATTAGTGACAATCTGAATTTTCCTTATATATTTTGGCACTGATTTTCATAAGGTAAATATTTATATCTTTATGCAGAGGGAAAAGTAATCTTACTAACTTTGAAAAGGAAAAAGAGAGCGCAAGAAGGTTTGCGTGGACCTCAGTGTGAGGTGAGAGGCCTAGGGCTGGAGGCTCTGAATGTGACATCTGGACTGAAATCCAGGTGTCCCGCCTCCCAGCCCAGGACACGGGTGATCACTGCAACCTTTCCTCTTCTCATGCTCAGGGGAGCTCGCAGTGTCTGGGATTAGGGGGCAGGGTCTGAAGTCGGAGTGAGGAAGAGAAAGAGCAGCCCAAGGTGGTCTTCTCCTTCCGAGGAAAGGGCACCATTTCTGCGTGCTCTAGATTCTCAGAGGTAAGAGATGGGCATAAACAAAGAATTCATCCTCTGTCTTTTCTTGTCTGTTCTCCCCAACTCAGTAGATATGTTTGACGACTTCTCAGAAGGCAGAGAGTGTGTCAACTGTGGGGCTATGTCCACCCCACTCTGGAGGCGAGATGGGACGGGTCACTATCTGTGCAACGCCTGTGGCCTCTACCACAAGATGAACGGCATCAACCGGCCGCTCATCAAGCCCCAGCGCCGGCTGGTAAGCACCTGCCTCACGGCCTCCTCTCGGCACCTGGCTGCAGGGCTCTCGCCTTGGTGGGACATCCTCTAGTTTTGAATTTTGGAACTTGAGGGTGTGGATCAGGGGATTAGATGGGTGAGAGCTCCACCATAATTGTCACAACTTTAGAGTCAGCTGGAGCCACCAGAATGATCCAGGCTGTCCAGTTCAACCTCTTCAGCACACAGAAACGGAAAGTGAGGCTCAGAGAAGCTAGTGGCCTTGCCCACAGTCACTGAGGTACTGAGTCTCCCATGTGGAACTCTGGAACCAGAATCCAGGTTTCCTGGTTCCCACTCTGGTGTTGACTGGAGTGTCTCCTCCATCCACACCAACCCTGCAAGGAAGGTCACCTCAGAGGCTGGTCTCTATCCTGACCTCAGTTGATCAGTTGATAAATCCCAAAGCCCAGAAGTGCAAGCAGCTTGTGTTGGGCCCCGGGGCTGGGGAAGAGTTTGGGCCTGGGGCTTGGCTCCTGGCTTCATGCTCCTTTTCAATATAATTTGATTCTGATCAACACCAACCAGATTGCACTATATTAAGGAGGGAAGAACAGAGGGGATAAACCCTGGTGCCTCCCTTTCTTGAGGTCCCAGGGCCATTCAGACTTTGATACTATTTGGACACCATGATTCCTCACTCTCCGTCTGTGCCTGGCACCTGCAGCTTCTTTCAGGAGAAGCTTTCCTTCCAGCAGTGTCCGGCGCTCACTGGTTATTTGCCTGATGGTGAATGACGGTTAGGACTGGAAACCAGGTCTCCAGTGCCCACGTTCGCTCTCCTCGTGCAGCAGAAACCTCGTTCTGATTTACTCCTCGCAGTGGCTCAGGTGACAGGAGAGTTAGGTGCTGTCACAGGTCAGAGATCTCATGCAGGGTCATTAGGGCCCAGCCCTGCCTCCCATTAGGGAGGCCCAATCCGCAGCCGCGCGCGAGGTGGAAGGCAGTGCCCCCCTTTTACTTGGACATGAAGGGTCTGTTTCCTGTCTTGCAGTCTGCCTCCCGCCGAGTGGGCCTCTCCTGTGCCAACTGCCAGACCACCACCACCACGCTGTGGCGCCGCAATGCGGAGGGCGAGCCCGTGTGCAATGCCTGTGGCCTCTACATGAAGCTCCATGGGGTACGTGGGTCCCACGCCCACGCGGCATCCTTGCCTTCTGATGCCCATCTCTCAGTCCTCCCTTGTCTTCTTCTTTTGGACTAGCATTCATTTTCCCTTCTTAACAAAGATACTTAGATTTGGAAGGGACTTTCAACAACTTTGCTGGCCTCTTCCATCCTTTACATTGCATAAGTGAATTTTCCATTTTACAGATGAGCAGGCCATATTTATATACAGCACCCTGATATGCAACAAAGGTGACATTTCGATTCAGTGGATAAGAAGCTTAAGGATAGTTGCACTGACAAAATTGGCTGTTCATTTGGAAAACAAAAGGAAAGCATGACCTCCACCTCCTACTTAAACAAAAATAAACTCAGGTGAATTAAAGATATTAGATGTAAAATATCTTTGAAATAAACTAAAAGTAAGGCCAGGCATCATGACCCATGCCTGTAATCCCAGCACTTTGGGAGGCTGAGGCAGGAGGATTGCATGAGCTCAGGAGTTCAAGACCAACCTGGAAACTTTTTCTCTACTGAAAAAAAAAAGAAAAAAAAAAACTAGCTGGGCATGGTGGTGCATGCCTCTAGTCCCAGCTACTTAGGAAGCTGAGATAGGAGGATGGCTTGAGCTTAGGAGTTTGAGGCTGCAGTGAGCTCTGATTGTGCCACTGCACTCCAGCCTGAGTTACAAAGTGAGACCCTGTCTCCAAAAAATAAAAATATTAGACAATAAAATACTACAAAAAAAAATCAGACGATAAAAACACTGGAAGAAAATATAAGGGGAAGTATTTATGTAACTTTGGGGATGGGAGAACTTCTTAAACAAGATTTTAAAACTTTTTAGCCACATAAAAATAGTTAGATAGATTTGATTTTGTAAATATTTACTATTAGTGCCTGGAAATGATACCTAGGGAAAGTAAAGACCAATACACAGTACCAGAAAAAGGGTTAGTATTTCCAGAATTACAAGGAGCTTCTACAAAGCTCTTTACATTTTTATTGGAACATTCTCCATTATACAGTGTTAACAAAAAGGCAAGGTGCAGAACACTACTTACTACGGCACTATTTTTATAAATATGAGGAAGAACATAATTTATACATGGTTGCTTCCATGTACACAGAACACCTCTGGTAGGATATGTAGAGGTTGGTCACATGGTCACATGTATGCATATATATGTACACGGGGTGCCTCCAGGAGAAAAACTGGGGTCCTGGGGAGAAGGGATTAGAAAGACACTCTTTTTGCTGTGTACCCCCTTGGTACCTTAGACGGTACATTTGCAAGTCTTAATTGTTCAAATACAAGTTAAATTAAAACCAAACCAGAAACAGATAGACCTTATAGCCTAATAAGAAAAGAACAATTGATTTTCCCCCCACTTCCCCCAAATGGGCAAAAGATACGAACTGACATCTCACAGAAGCTGTCCAGATAGCCATGAAACATGTGCAGACATGCTGAATCTCACTGAAAATCAGGGAAATGTACCCGAAAATGACCACGAAAGTCCCTATTTTGCCCACAGATTTGGCAAAAATTTAAATGTGTGCTGCTGTGGATTTGGGGAATTAGATACTCTCATGTATTATTGATTTGTATTTGATAACTGCATCTATTAACTTAGTGGTATTTTTAAGGGTTAAAACCATAAACACCTTTATATCTGGCAGGTCTACTGTTGGGAAACTAGCCTATAAAAAATAACCAGTACATGATGACCTTTGAACCATTTATTGCTGCATTGTTTGTGGTGGCAAAAACTAGAAACCACCTTAAAATCCCATAAAGGAATGTTTGAAAAAATTCTGGTATATCCCAAAATGTGGAATATTGAGGAGAAATTTAAAAATAATAATCTAGAGCCATGTATCTTGATCTAGAAAATGAAAAAGCACATTGCAAAGAAATATATGTAGCATGACCGCATACTACGAGTGTTGAAGGTGCAGTAAACACACATACATATGGGATGAGTGGACAGACCAGTGGATGGGTGAATACATACACACAAATATACATGTATAGGTGTATTAGTCTGTTTTCACACTGCTGATAAAGACATACTCAAAATAAAAAAGTGGTTTAGTGGACTCACAGTTCCACATTGCTGGGGAGACCTCAAAATCATGGTGGAAGGTGAAAGGCACGTCTTACATGGCAGCAGGCAAGAGAGAATGAGAGCCAAGCAAAAGGAGTTTTCCCTTATAAAACCATTAGCTCTCATGAGACTTCCTCACTACAGTTAGAACAGTATGGGAGAAACCACCCTGTGACTCAATTATCTCCCCTCAGGTCCCTCCCACAACACGTGGGAATTATGGGAGCTACAATTCAAGATGAGATTTTGGTGGGGACATAGCCAAACCACGTCAATAGATATATATGTGTACATGTGTTTGAGAATTTTTTTTAAATGTAAGAATATATAACAGGCTGTTAAATCCAGTTGCCTCATTGGGATAGGATTTATGGTAGTGGAGTGAGAGGGCTGTTATTAACTTAATCTCGTGTATCTTTTCATGATTTCTTGTTATAATGAACAAACAAATAGCTAAAGTTATGAAAATTCATAAGAAAACATTTCTTTCTGCAAAGAATATATATAAGGGTGTTTGTTAATCACTGTAATAGCAAAAATGGAGGGGAAAAAACCTTTGGAAGGAAAATGGTTAAACTATTATTCTTCAATATGGGAATGGTACAAGAAACTTATTGGGAAATATTATGTAGGTATTCAAAAGATTATATTCTCAGAAAATAAAAAAAATAAAATTACCACATGATCCAGCATACTATTTCTGGATGTATACCCAAAAGAATTAAAGGCAGGGTCTCAGAGCTATTTGTACACTCCCGTTTACAGCAGCATGATTCACAAATGCAGAAAGATGGAAACAACCCGAGTGTCCATGGGGAAATGAACAGATAAACAAAGTGTGATATATATACACGTAGGATATTATTCAGCCTTAAAAAGGAAGGGAATTCTGGCCCCTGACACCATGTGTCAAATCCATGGAGGCAGAAAGTAGAATGGAGACTGTCAGGGGCTGAGGAAAGGGGGAATGAGGAGTGATGTTTAATGGGTATGGAGTTTGAGTTTTGCAAGATGAGAAGAGTTCTGGGGATGGTGGTGAGGGCTGCAGAACAGTGTGAATGAGCTTAACACTACAGAACAATATACTTAAAAACGGTTAAGATGGTAAATCTTAAGTTACATGTATTTTATTTTACTGCAACTGAAAAAAAAAAAAAGCATACCTAAGTGAATGGAGATTAACATGAGGGGAAGATTCTTCTGAGGCTAGAATGGGCTTGAACATTTGAGGCATAGCTAGGGGGATGGGGTGGGGGAGGACACCCTCCCACAAGGTGGAAAATAGGGGTCTGGGTATAGAGTCACAGACAGATAGGCAGATGGTGGGGTAGGGGTGTGCAAATGCTACCCCGTCTACCCACAGTTAAATAGGAGGCAATTCAAGTTCACATATGCTGGTGCATTTCTCGCTTAACCATTCCATGTTCATGTCTCTGAAGCAGTAATTGCTTTTCTTTCTGTATTTGCAGGTGTGGTCTTTATCGATCCCACATGGTAGACAAGCATAGCATAGAACAGGGGCTAAAAGACTTGGCTCAGCCTAAGAGAAACCAGATGTGGGGAAGGCACCCTGCAGTCCTGCTCCCCAGGACTGGCTTAGGCATCTGTGAATGGCTCTGGGGCCTGCCTCCCAACAGAACTGTGGTCAAAGTATTGTCCAGGGACATTTTATCTCAGAAGCTGGTCACAGGGCAGTTTCTAGAATAGTCTCTTACTGCTCCCCACCGTTCATAGACGCACCAGTGGCTCCAGCCAGACCCAATGCAGTACAGAGCTGCTATAAGTAGAGTAATGTTACATCTCAACTCGCTGGGGCTGTTACTGTTGAGGCCAATTTTCCCAGCACAATTATTGATAGCACCCCCGCACTCTCACCCCTTTTTGAGACAGGGTCTTGCTCTGCCCAGGCTGGAGTGCAGTGGCACAATCCCAGCTTGCTGCAGCCTTGACTTCCTGGGTTCAAGTGATCCTCCCATCTCAACCTTCTAAGTAGCTGCAACTACAGGCATGTACCACCATGCCCAGCTAATTTTAAAACTTTTTTGTAGAGATAGGGTCTCACTATGTTGCCAAGGATGGTCTTGAACTCCTGGACTCAAGTAATCCTCCCACCTCGGCCACCCAAAGTGCTGGGATTACAGGCATGAGCCACTGCGCCTGGCCTAGCACCCACTTTTTGTTTTCAGGGTCCTTGTGTGGATGATAAAGGCTTTTGAACATTCTCTCTGCTGCCTGAAACGCCTGCCTCTGTCTACTCAAAACCTTCTACAAACTCAGGTGTCACCTCCACACTGAAGCCTTCCTTGATATCCTCATGTGCCCCTCCTTCCCACTCCTCACCCCAGGACAGTTTTGTGTTCCTCTGTCTTTTTATATCACCTACCAGAGTCCGGTTATTTCTGCTTGTCTATGAATTTCTGAGGGTAGGAACTGTGTGTCTTTAGTTCCCTGTTCTCCAGGCTCTAGTAAAGTCCCCGTCACATCACATAGGTGCTCGATAAGTTTTTTAAAAACAGAATTGATTTCTTTCTTGCTGAATTCCAGGGGCCTGTGCACACCGTCTGAGCCCCAGCCTTTGTGGAGAGATTGCTTAGGTGTTGCCTTCTCGCAGCAGCTGTGTGTCTTTCAGTGCTGTAGCAGATTATGTAGAAATGGAAAACCATGTATATTGACTTGTGACCCTCCAGGTTCCCAGGCCTCTTGCAATGCGGAAAGAGGGGATTCAAACCAGAAAACGGAAGCCCAAGAACCTGAATAAATCTAAGACACCAGCAGGTGAGGAAAAGATCTGTGAGTGATTATGTGAATACGTCAGAAGCCTTCAGAGTGCACAAGAATCATATTTTCTGGGTTAGGCAGGCCAGCCCAGGCTGCCAGGGTGTGGTGACAGCGTTGTACATCCCTGGCCTTTCAGGACAGGATGAAGAGCCCAGCAAAAAAGTAACAATTGCCATGGAACATATTGGGAGCTTTTGAAGCAGGCTCAACTCAGGCTGGGGTCTGATCATTGCCAACTGCAAAGATCCCAGTGGGCAGGCTGGACCAGTCGAGGGCCTGCAGGAAAGAGGAACTTTACTCGGTCCCTTCATCTTTGGTGCTGCAGCCACCCAAAAGCTCAGTTCCTTTCAATTTTCTTTGGGCTAACGGGGATCCAGGAGGACAGGGTCCAATTAATCATGTTCCTAACAGATTGATCTCTAAGCCAGTGGATAATGAACATCATGCAGTGCTTTGTGCTTTAGAAAGCCCCTTCAGAAACATTATCTCCATGAACGCAAGACTCCATGAGAACCAGTTTATGACGCCATTTTACTAACAAGCCAACTGAGGCTCATAGAGGACAATGATTTAACGAGGGTCATACAGCTGTTAATGGGTAGAGAATTAAAACCCAAGCTTTTATGCTTCAGGGTCAATGTTCTCTTCAATCTACCACTCTGCCTTCTGAATTTCTGGATTAAGAATAAGGGCTGCTCAGAAGTTAGAGGCTGCAGTGACCTGTGATCGTGCCACTGTACTCCAACCTGGAGAGCAGAGCAAGACCCCGTCTCTAAAAAAAAAAAAAAACATAAAAAAGAACAGAGACTGTTCTTTTTAAATTTATTTTTAGTAAATAAATTTATCAAATACTTATTAAATTTAAATTATATTTATTTGTATTTATTAAATTATATATAAATTTATGAAAGAACAAGGGCTGTTCTTTAATACATTTGTATTCCCTACCAAAACATTCCCCACTCAGTACGGCTACCCAGTTAGAGATTGGACTGGTCAGTGCTGCAGTCACAGAGAAAATCAATTGGCTGATCTGATGGAAAATGTATCTTCTAACCTAAGGCATGACAGAGTCAGATAAATTGGCCCTTTCCACTACCAAGGGCATGATCAAAGTTCTACTTTTCTAGATTCAACCACGGCTTGCCCCTTCTGGCAGGCATATTTCCTACAGGAATTTTCAGTGTCTGACACCTGTGGTCTTCCACCTCTCCTCCTGCTTCCCTACTGCTGCCGAGTACCCTACGTGCCCTGGGTAACCTTATTTCCTCTCACGTAGCAATCACAGGTAGAGAAGACATTCGGCTCCAGTGCACCATCCCCGGTCCAAAATTCCAAATCCGGGAAGCTAGATTTGGCGGCAAAACCTATTTTGAACAGACACAGGGCTGTTGATGGTCTCTGTTTACCCCATTCAGTATGATATTCACATGTTTTGCTGTGGGGATATTAATGTATTTAATTATAGGGTATTATCTCAGGCCCTGCGGGAGGTATTCTATAATACACAGTATTTGGACTTTTAAAAATTTGAATCTTCAAGTTGAATGAGGAAGAATTTTTTTTAAAAGTTTTGAATCCTGAAACCCATGTGGCCTCAAGGGTTTGCGATGAACTAGGGGGAAGAAGCCATCCCTGTGAGAACTGTAACTGTCCACTGACAAGGACCCCTGCTGCCCTCCCTGACAAATGTAGATAAAGCCATTAGCTCAGACCCATCCCCGCTGTCTCACAGGCTGCCGGCTGTTCATTTGTCCCTGCCGCTGATTTGGGTGTGCTGACTCTGCTTCATTCCAGGTCCTGCAGGCACTGAGAGCCTTCCTCCCGCCAGCGGTGCTTCCAGCAACTCCAGCAGCGCCACCACCAGCAGCAGCGAGGAGATGCGCCCCATCAAGACAGAGCCCGGCCTGTCATCTCACTACGGGCACAGCAGCTCCGTGTCCCAGGTACACGCCACGGGTGGGGCGCCAGGGCTGTTTGTGGGGAGGCCGATTGCAGAGTCCCAGGGGCCAGCCTAGTCTTAGGTGGGACTTGCAGCCAGGCCTCACAGGTGCAAGCAGTGAGCTACCCTCTGGGCTAGGAAGCTCCAGCCTTTGAGCTGCGTGGTGCCCTCAGGGCCCCTCGAGGCTAGGGGCATCTGCATCCGGCTGTATTTCAGGACGTCTTGTCAAGCTATGGTGGTGTGGGCACGATTATGACTCACAATTTTTTAACAGCTCCTCTATGCCACTATCTTTGGAAACAAAGAGAGGGGAGTCCGGGGCTGGCATACAGCATGGGTGGCAGGGGAGGAAAACAACACACAAGGACAGCCTGAATGAGACTGCCTGCTGGGGCGAGGGGAGGCGTGGTCCCGCTGTGGGAGGCAGAGCAGGGGTTCTCTAGGCCACGTCTCCTATGTGCAGGGCGGTGAGACTTCAACAGGAGAGGGTGGGGAAGGAGGAGGAAGCTGGCATGGGGAAAGGCCTGCATCCTGCAGAGGGCAGGGGGGCAGGCTGGTGGGAGGTCACAGGCAGGATGCCACTTTCATGAGGCCCAGCTCTGCACGTGTGTCAGGGGACACCCGGGGCCACCCAGGTTCCCTCTTGTGGAGGATGATGGCATCTCAGCTTCCCTGCCTCGTCCCCTCTGCAGTTCCCTCTCTTGGGACCAGGACGCACCAAGCTTGACCACAGTCTCCTCTGACCAGCCCCTGCTGTTAATCTTGCCTCTGCTCTTAACTGAGAGAGGCCGTGTCTTAATGAGCTTCTTATTGCCTGGGAGAACCTGATCCCACAGAACCAGGGGCAGCAGGAGCCCCTTCTGGGCCGGGTGGACGGCCTCTCTGTTGGAAAGTGGATGTGGTAGTGATAGGATGGTAGAAAGTGTCTCCTGTAACCATCAGAGCCTTCTGGGCAACCACAGTATCCACAGGCCCACTGGGTTCTCGCCCTGGTTGTATACTGTGCTCAGAAGCAGCTGATGCATCACCCAGACCCTTTGTGCCCAGATCACCGGGATCAGGAGAAACAGAGAGACGTGCTCCTTGGTCCCTTCCTGAGGGCGGGAGCCATCCTGGCGACATCTGCATAGTAGGGCACCCTCCCCTACCTCAGGAGCGTCTCCACGGGCCTCATCGTGTGCTTTCTGCTTTTCAGACATTCTCGGTCAGCGCGATGTCTGGCCACGGGCCCTCCCTCCACCCGGTCCTCTCGGCCCTGAAGCTCTCCCCACAAGGCTATGTGTCTCCCGTCAGCCAGTCTCCACAGACCAGCTCCAAGCAGGACTCTTGGAACAGCCTGGTCTTGGCTGACAGTCACGGGGACATAATCACTGCGTAATCTTCCCTCTTCCCTCCTCAAATTCCTGCACGGACCTGGGACGTGGAGGACTGGGAAGAAGGAGGCCCTGGGCTCCCAGGGGCCGGCCTCCTCTGCCTGGGAATGACTCCAGAAAACAACTGGGAAGAAACTTGAAGTTGACGATCTGGTCAGGGGAAGCGGGTGTTGGATTTTCTCGGATGCCTGTATACGGTGGTGGGACTGGAGGGAGCCCAGCCTGCAGCACGAGCACACTGCGTCTCCCTGTGAGTTGGAGACTTCTTTCCCAAGATGTCCTTGTCCCCTGTGTTCACCGCTGTGGCCTAGACGGTGGGTTTCGCATTGTGTTTCCAGCACCGGGGATCTGAGAACAAGCGGAGGGCTGGGCCCTGGGACCCCTGCTCCAGCCCGAATGACGGCATCTGTTTGCCATGTACCTGGATGGACGGTCCCCTGGGGAGAGGCCCCGGCCCCATCCATCCGCTTGAGAAACGGCACCGCCCTGCATCCCCAATACCAAATCTGACTCCACAACTGTGGGATGTGACAGAAGTGACCGAACACTTCCCTGGGGAGCTAGAGGAGCACTGCACCCGCCACAGAGCGCAGCCGCATCCACTGCAGCTGGCAGCTTCTCCCCCAGGCACCTTCCCCTGCTGCGGGCCTTTGCTCCTTCACTTCCAACGTCTCTCAAAATAAAAGTCCCTCTTCCTGCTCTGAGTGATTCAGCTCTGCCTGCAGCTTGTACATGTCCCTCCCCTGGCAAAACCAGAGCTGGGGAGCTTAGCCAAACGGCCCCCCTCGAGTTCCCTGCAGGCCCTTCATTCACCCTGTCACACACAGAGGGGTTCTGAGTAAGAACAAAACGTTCTGCTGCTCAAGCCAGTCTGGCAAACACTCAGCTGAGCCTCGAGATCCTTCCGGGGAGAGTGTAAGTGGACAGAGTCCTGCTCGGGGGGCAGGAGTGTCCCAAAGGCCGACCCACCTGCTGTCTGCTCCTCCTGGCCCTTGGTCCGATGGCAGCCGGAGTCCCTCCGGACCTGCAGCCTCGCCTTGGCAGAAGTCTTTTGTCCAGGAGGCGAAAAGCCAGAGATTCTGCAACGCGAATTCAAAGCAAACAAACACAACACGACACAAGTCACGGAAAGAAGATGACTGCTAAGACATGGCAGGGGGCCTGGAGGGAGCCTCCGACTCTGAGCTGCTCCGGGATCCACTGCCTTCTCCTCTGCACGTTGCTCAGTTTCCGCCCCTGACGCTGGAGCTCATGGAGACTCCTTCCTCTTTCTCAGCAGAGCTGTAGCTGACTGTGGCATTACTACGCCTCCCCACACGCCCAGCCCCCTCACTCCAAAATCCTACTGGCTATAGCAGAGAATACCTTTGAACCAAGATTCTGTTTTAATCATCATTTACATTGTTTTCTTCCAAAGGCCCCCTCGTATACCCTCCCTAACCCACAAACCTGTTAACATTGTCTTAAGGTGAAATGGCTGTAAAATCAGTATTTAACTAATAAATTTATCTGTATTCCTCTTTCCCTCCTCTTCCCTCAGTGGTCTTCACTGGGAGGTTCAGCACTGCTGTTCTCTCCTGGGGAATCTTGAGGCCATGGATCCACTGACCCACTCACGGCTGCTTCCTTTATTTTTGGCCATTGGCTAAGGCTCCCTCTTTTGGTAACAGTGGATCCTGAAAAGAACACTCATCCCAGTCCTGCTAATGTCAGACATTAGATGGGTGTCACTGCTGGGCTTTAATTTCCTAGGAGACAGTTGTACCTATCCATAAACAAAGTTCCTTGTGGTCCAACAAAAGTCGCTCAATGTATTTATTGATTTATTGAGACAGGGCCTTGCTCTGTTGCTCAGGCTGGAGTGCTGTGTGCCATCATGGACCTACTTGGCTCGAACGATCCACCTGCCTGTCTCTTCAGTAGCTGGGACCACAGATGCACACCACCATGCCCAGCTAATTTTTATTTTGTAGAGATGGGATCTTGCTTTGTTGCCGAGGCTGGTCTTAAACTCCTGGGCTCAAGCAATTCTCCCGCCTCGGCCTCCCAAAATCCTGGGATTAGAGGCATGGGTCACCACTCCCAACCATCTGAGGGCATTTTTAGAGCCCTCCAGACAACAGGGTCTGGAGCATGAGACTCTGCCTACCTGGAAGAAAATGTTCTCTCTAGCCACTTCCAACTTAAAACTGGGTCCCTCTAGGACAAGGAGCTCTTGCCATTTTATGGTTTGATCCGAACAGGCTAATGGGCAAATGATGCCTCACAAGAATGAGAGAGAAGGCGGCACTTCCTCTCCTTTATCCATTTGTCTTCACCTCCTTAGGCCACAGGGGTGCTTAACCACTTCATCTTAAAAGTATGTGGAGTGGGGCCGGGCGCGGTGGCTCACCCCTGTAATCCCAGCATTTTGGGAGGCCAAGGCAGGAGGATTGCTTGAGCCTGAGAAGTTGAGACAAACCTGGGCAATATAGGGGGACCCCATCTCTACAAAAAATTAGAAAATTAGCCAGGTACGGTGGCATGCCCCTGTGATCCCAGCTACTCAGAAGGTTGTGGGAGGATCACTTGAGCCCAGGAGGTCAAGACTGCAGTGAGCTGAGCTCATGCCACTTACACTTAAGCTTGGGTAACAGAGCAAGACTCTGTCTCAAACAACAAACAAAACCTTTTGAAACCCACATCAAGTCTTTTAACAATTAAGGAGCGCATTTATCTTTAAAATTAGACTTTTAAATGCCTCTAAGATAGGTGAGCAGTAACAAAGTTAATTTTAGCTGTGATTATGCTGTGATTGTGTTTGGCTTAACAGTAATGAAAATAAGTTTAGGCCGGGTGCAGTGGCTCATGCCTGCAATCCCAGCACTTTAGGAGGCTGGGGTGGGTGGATCACCTGAGGTTGGGGGTTTGAGACCAGCCTGACCAACATGGAGAAACCCCGTCTCTACTAAAAATACAAAATTAGCCAGGCATGGTGGTGCACGCCTGTAATCCAGCTACTCAGGAAGCTGAGGGAGGAGAATCGCTTGAACCCAGGAGGCAGAGGGTGCAGTGAACCGAGATCTCACCATTGCACTCCAGCCTGGGCAACAAGAGCGAAACTTCATCTCAAAATAAGAAGTTTACAGTCTCTGAATATGTACCAAATGGAGCCAGGGGTGGGGAGTATTAGGACAAGCCACCCACTGCAGAGCCCCCAGCTCTCACTCGTGGACTGAGTGCATGGGACACAGCCATTCGGAAAGCTCTTTCTTTCGGAGTGGGACTGGGTGTTCTGGTTTTGGTTTAATTGTTTTATCATTTGGTAACATTGGCACCTATTCTTTAGACTGCGTCCTTGCCTTGCTTGCTTGAAGCTGGAGCACAAATGTCCCATCACCCTGTAACAACACACGTATGTGTCATCCCTGCGAGGCTTAGCTTGAGAAGCGGCATCTCCAGGAACCTCGTTCTGTGGTCTGTCTGCCACTTTACACTGTTGCTCTCATTTCAGTCACTGAGGCCCTTTCCCTTATCCTCCAGGGACATGGTGCTGCTCTATAAGCTCTGACTCCAGTGTGACTTTCATATTGCTCCTCCAGATAGCAGTGGCAGTGGCATTTGCAAAAAGGCTGAGAACAAGAATAAAGTCATCAAAGTGAAGATGATAGTAAAACAGACCTCATTTTTCAAAGTCCATTCTTTTTTCTGGTCTATGCACTGCCAGCTCACTCCTCTGGCTAAAACCCGGGGGTGGCGGGGGTGTGGGGGGCGGGAGTTAGTTTTGCAGAAAGCACTGATGGCACAGGTGTGCTCCAAGTTTACCAGAATACAAGAACCAAAAAAGCCTGTGAGACACTGGTGCTCATGACCGCAAGCTCCAGCTCGGGGGTTTTCAGATGAACACAAAAAGGGGGCTTCTCCCGTCCCAAGATGAGTGATAAATGAGGCACTTCTCATACACTCACACTCACTCCATTCCCTCTGGGATGACTGTCTTCCATCCTACAGCTGTGGCTGCTGTTCTCTGCCTGATAAACTTCTTTCCCTCTCCCTCCCTCTGACACAGAAACACACACAGACACACATACACACACACACACACACACACACCCCCCACTGGATCTATAAGCCGTTTGCAACAGGATGCACCAGTTCTAATCACTTTTCAAGTCAACTGAACCAGTCACAGCTTCCTAATCAGTGAATGACTGACATAAGGAGTTAATTCAGAAGCAGCTCAATACTATGGACAATACTAGTGAACAATATTAGCATAATGTTTGTACAAGAAAGATACCATAGTCTCTTGTGCTCCCTCTTCAAGATGAATTTGCTGAAAGTGAGTTGTAATTAGAGATGTTAAAAAAAAAAAAAAAAAAAAAAATGGCTGGGCGTGGTGGCTCACTCCTGTAATCCCAGCACTTTTGGAGGCGGAGGCGGGTGAATCAACCTGAGGTCAGGAGTTTGGTACCTGCCTGGCTAACATGGCGAAAGCCCATCTCTACTAAGAAAACAAAAAATTAGCCGGGTGCAGTGGTGGGCGCCTGTAATCCCAGCTACTTGGAAGGCTGAGGCCAAAGAATTTCCTGAACCCAGGAGGCAGAGGTTGCAGTGACCCGAGATTGCGCCATTGCACTCCAGCCTGGGCAATAAGACTGAAACTCCATCTCAAAAAATAAATAATAATAATAATAAAAACTGAGATTTATTGTTCCTCCTCCGTCCTTTTCCTTGAGAACTTAATAAAAATGGAAAATATCCATTACTTCTAGGGTTCTTGATGATCTAAAATGGTTAAGCCGGGATGGAGGATAGATGTGGTCAGTAAACACTGAAATCACGGAACCCTAACGAGGCCAGGGCTCTGCTGAGCAAATCAATGGGTCCAGAGTGCCCCTAACATGCTTTTCCGCTGTAGGCTCTGAGGGGCCCGGGCCCTGCTGAAGACTCTGGGCTGGAATCCTCTGGGATATCCTCCACAGTCATCCATTGTATACCTTTCCTTGGGGTTCCTCAGAGTGGCTTCCAATCTTCCCACCAGCAGAGTCCCCTGTACCCACTCTCACCCCTGCCATGGGCCCCATTTTTGGTTTTGTTTTTATTTTTGAGAGTCTTGCTCTGTCCTCCAGGCTGGAGTGCAGTGGTGCAATCACAGCTCAGTGCAGCCTCCACCTCCCAGGCTCAAGTGATCCTCCCACCTCAGCCTCCTGAGCAGCTGGGACTACAGATGTGTGCCACCACCACATTTGGCTAATGTTTTTGTATTTTTAGTAGAGACAGGGTTTCACTATGTTGCCCAGGCTGGCCTCAAATTCCTGGGCTTAAGTGGTCTGCCCACCTTGGCCTCCCAAAGTGCTGGGATTAGAGGTGTGAGCCACCACACCCAGCACAGGTCTCATGTTTTGAAGTAGTTTTAACTAATCATTTGGGGTTTTCCTCATTTTTCATAGATCAAAAACAACCGCATGAAAATTATACCTCAATTTAAAAATGAACAAGCCAGGCGCAGTGGCTCACGCCTGTAATCCCAGCATTTTAGGAGACCGAGGCAGGGGGATCATTTGAGATCAGGAGTTTGACACCAGCCTGGCCAGTGTGATGAGACCTCATCTCTACCAAAAATACAAAAATTAGCTGGGGATGGTGGCGGGCGCCTAGAATCCCAGCTACTTGGGAGGCTGAGGCAGGAGAATCCTTTGAACTTGGGAGATGGAGGTTGCAGTGACCCGAGATCCCACCACTGCATTCCAGCCTGGCTGACAGAAAGAAACTCCATCTCAAAATAAACAAACAAACAAACAAACAAAAACCATAACTGTTCATCTCTGCTAGCAAGTACCAGAGAGTCGGTACACCACGCTGGGTTCCCGCCGAAGGCAAAGACATTCCATTTAGTTTCCTTTGTGGCCTTGTGACAGATACTAAATGGATGGTTACTTAGATGCCTTCTGACTGGTTTTCAATGGCTTGTGGGTTCCTCTGGGTCCTGGGGCCTCCAGAAGGGGCCACTGCCACACACACACACCTGGAAGGATCCTGTATCAATAGACACCTGCGCTTCTGCCTCCTCAAAAGAAAGGAGGGGACTGGAAGTGCCCACAACGGAGAATTCTGAGACCTGCCTTCCGGCTCAAATTTGGTCATGCGCTGGCTGCGTGCTGTTGGGCCATTCACCCGACTGCTCTGACCTCAGCATCCTCATCTGTAAAATGGTTTGCCCTGGGCAGCTTCAGGTGTCCAAGACTGGACCAGCAGCTATGGAATCACAAATTGTAGGAAAATGACTCACCTCTCTCTCTGGGCCTCACACACTCTCATTGGTACAGATGACACCTCAGGGCCCCAAGATTTGAAACTGCTCTTTCTGGAGACTCAAGATTGATGTCTTGGCCGAGTGCGGTGGCTCACACCT